TATATTTTAAATACATAACAATAAATATCACGAGGTAACGAGTTATATAGCAAGTAACATATATGTATGTTACATGTACTATTAAATGTCAGCAAGAAAAATATATGTCTGATCTATTTAAGATATGTAACAGAATACTTTAAATGTTATATTCGTGATATGTAATCGTGCTAATATTATGATGTAACATATACGTTTCAAATACATAAGGTTTTAAGTTACAATATGTACCACGGGAACTGAAATGTCTAGCCATCTGAATTTGCAGGAATACTGGCCCATATACATGTACATATACATATATGTATATGTACGTATATGGGCCAGTATCCCTGCAAATTCAGATGGCTAAGCATTTCTGTCCCCGCGGTGTTCTGTTGTAATATTATATTTATTGTATATATTATAATCAACAAATATTTTAAATTAAAGATATATATAATTAAATTATTTGCATAACTAATATGAAATATACGTACTTTTAGTTAAAGAACGTAATAAGTATTTAAACATAAAAAAATATAATGTTAAATTACACATTCGTTTAGAATGTAATTAAATTTTGTGTACAATATTTCATAGTTAAATGAATTCCAAGACAACTTGTAGAAATTCGTAATACTTGTTGCAAAAGGATTAAAAGCATTTAATCAATATTAATAAAACTGAAACTTTTAGACCATATATATATTTTTATCTTTCTTACAAAAAATTAACATCAAATTATTTATATTAAGTAGAATTAAATCAAAATTGTAATGTAATATTGCACGTTCACAATAATGTGATACTGCACATACAAGAAAAATGCACAATAAAGTGCAAATAAAAATTTGAGTAATTAACAAAACTTTCTTTCTTTATATGTAAATTAACAAAACTTTTTTTTTTATATGTATTATATATGTAATAACTGTTCTTTAATAATTATTTTTTATTAAATAAAAAAATAATAAAACTTTTTTTTAATTAAAAATATGCATTCTTTTAAAAATAAAACAAAAAACTCTATTTGCAGTAATATCTCAAATGTTGCGTTTAAAAGAAAAATTGAGTAAGTATCAAAATATTTAAATTTTAAAAAGTTTTAGTATATAAAATAAAATATGAAGTATATATTATTACATATTATAAATACGTATGCATGCAGAAGTATATAAATGTATATAATAATGTATAATATACATCATTTATTTTAATTTTCTTTAAGAGGATTATCAGCGTTTGTTTGTGTATCTTGCTCATGTCTATGCTTTTGGTCTCTTGAAAGGCGTAATTTACTGAGCCTGAATCATTCGCTTACAGCTTTGCAAAAATGTATTTCTTGAAAATCATTATGTACTGATAATACTACATCTGAAAAAATTTACATAAGTAAAAATATAAATAATAAATTGTATATACAAATTTAAGATCCCATAAAAAAGTGAAAATAAATATGTACCTTTAATTATTGCTATTAGTAACAGATCGCATATTTTAAAATTATTTCGTTGACCTAACCAACTACATTGTGTTCCAAGATCGTTAGTAAAAATTCTTTTTAAGATTTCTTTAACGTTATTTATTGAGTTAGTACCACCAATTCGTTTAATAAACATTATCTGAAAACAGTATTAATTTTGAAAAATAATAAAATTTAGCGGTTACAATATACATTATTATAAGAACATACAAATGCTTTTTTAACGTTTTCATTCTCCAGAGTTTGATCGAAATGAGATATTTGATCAATTGTCTTTAAAGGCAATTGATTTTGAATTATTTGCACTTCTTCGTAGGAATTATTTTTTTCCTTTATTTTTCCATCCTCCAGACGTTTCAATCGGGCATCAATACTTTTTGTATACATTTTTATTAATATACATTCTTGTAGAATACGTTGTTGTATTTTGTCTGCAATATACAACAATATACATGTAAAGCTGCAGGATACATATACTTAGCAAACAAACAGCGAACGCGAACATTCAGATATTCGCGTTCGTATTCGTAGATTGTTTATATACTTTTTTTTTCGATGCAACTGAGAAAAATAACCAACAATATACGAAATTAATCTACGAACACAAATGCGAATTTTAGAACATTTGCGTTTGCTGTTTATTCGGTAAGTGTGTACTCAGCTTACAATTAATAATATACAAAAAAAAATAAAATGTTAATTATGTAAATATTTGAACATATTTTTCTTACTATAGTCATCTGAGGTAGTACTACTATTTGAGGTAGTAGGTGAAGTAGTAACTGGTTTTTGAATAGATGCAATTTCTTTATGATGAGTTGCTATTGAATTATACAAACATATAATATAATATAAACGTATACACATATGCACATATATATATATATATATACAGGTATATATATATATATATATCATGTAAAAAGAAAGCACAGTATACCTGCTGTTTCAAGTTGTGATGATACATGTGTTGAAGGCGCTATTATAATAGGAATATCACTCATTGATATAATATTACAGTTATTTTGATTATTTTCATTGCTTGGTAATGTACACAAAAGTTCTGTATCACAAATATTTCCTGTAACTAAAGAAAAAGAGTCCTTATCATACGACACATTAGAAGTTGAAATTTTCTGACGTTTTTTAGATTTCGTTAGATTGTTCTCTTCTGATATTAATCGAGGAGGAGGTTCATAATCTGTAATAAAACATTAATAATCATGCAACATTTATTTTTATATTAAATAATTCTTACTTTTTACACTTATTTTTATTAATTCAAGTTATATTTAATTGAATTGATTAACTTATAAAAATATGAAAAGAAAAGAAATGAATAGTTTATCCTCATTTTACTCACTTTTAGAATATTCTAAATCTTCTGAAGTTTCGCTATCGCTTGACAAAGCCTTTTTTTTCTTTTTCGTTGGCCTTTTCCACGACAAATAAAACTCTCTTCAGCAGACGTGCAATTGTTATCACATTAGCCTTTTTTCGTGCTAACTGCAAAGTTTCTGTGAAATATTAATTCTTATTTACATAAAAATTTATATATAATTTCAATTTTAATAATATTTTTATAAAAATAACAGCTATATATAATTTAACATAAAATTACTATTAAATACATATATCAGTACCATACAGTCCTTGCATTTCCACATCATAATTTTCCCATGTTGTTGGATCAGGTATCACACTTCGATTAATAAATTGTGATACATTTTTAACTTTAGGCCACCAACATTGATTTCTTTCTTCATTAAGCCATGATAATGGCACTTCAGAAAAATCATTATCTTTTATAAAGCGCACTACGGCGTACAAAGACATTTTTTTTCACTTTGCAAATTCTAAATGCGTTCTGAGATATAAACTGCAAATCTATAGTAATGCAATATTACATAAAAGAATAAAACTGTATGACTATATAATGTAAAGCATATATACATATATGTAAAAGTTTCATATTATTTTTTTATTAGTAAAATTTATCTTAAGTATATTATATTTAATGATGTATAAAAGGTAATATTACAAGCTCCTCAATTCCTACTTTAATAATAATGCCTTTTTCACATACTTGATTTATATTAACTAAATCGATGGCAAACATGTCAGCTTTAGATATTAAAAAAATAGATAAATTAGTAGAATCACTAGGTGTATCAAAAAATGATTTCTTTTTTGCAACAGATTTGCCTGACAAAGAAATATGACCATGATATGAAATTTGTTCCACAAAGATTACTGAGCCATCATGTAGAATGCAGCAATTGTCAAATTCTTTTGTAGAAATGCTGAATCCTTCTAATTCTATTTTCTTGATATAATCATTTTGTGCATTTGCAAAATGAATAATAGGATATACTTTTACTTTATCCTTTTGTACAATTTGAGTTGCTTCGTATAATCTGTTGGAAACTTGTTCCAAATAATTTTTTTCCGTATGTACTTTTCTCTTTAATTTATATAAGAAATTTTCAAACTTGAATGCACTGAATGAATCCAATGGACCAAATAAAGCAACATCATTTGGAAGATGTATAAGATTATGTACATTATATGAAATATGTTGCATTCCATACAGTTCACCAAAATTTTTTACAAAATAATAATTTCTGTGCATATTGTCGCATATTAATACAAAGACGCGGGTGACAAAGTATTCTTATCGATACACTTAAACATAAGAAATGCTCATACATACGTAATGGCAAAACATTTTTTAATAATAATGGTCCTGTATATAGTAAAAATAAACGGAATTCGGTTGCTTTCCATCTGTCAATTTCAAATAAACTTCGTGGATATCTAGCAAATTCTTTAGGTATAAATTTTCTCATATTTACATATTCATTACAAATACTTTGTAGTATATGTGATTTTATTTGAACATGCATTTTGCCTCGTACCCAAATTTGTAATAATTTTTTCATAACTCCTAAGCACACTAAATGCATATAATCCAAGGGCAATTGAGACACCATGCCAATATCTGTATTTTCAAGAATAGATGTTATATGATGATGTTCAGGTTGCATTCTGTTTTTGAAAGAAGCATCTGTTCGAAGAGAACATTTCAGATCTGGAAAAACAACTCTATTTTCTATAAATTCACCTTCGCAAATGCATTTTGTACAACCAAAATATCCTGTATGATTTTTTATTCCAGCAATAAAAGCCCTTGCTGGAGCATCGCATATTAAAGCATTTATTTTTACAGGAATAAGTTTTTCACCAATATATATCCCACAATTATCTTTTATAAGCAATATATCTGTAACTAATGGCTGTAAAAAGACATTTACATCCGGTTTTTTTTTACCATAATAAATTCCAACTGGAAATGGTTCTGTATACAAAGTACTGTCTACTAGAGCAGCTAAAATAGGCCAAAATTGTCCAGAGGAACTTTTCGATATAGGCAATCCATCTATATTGAAATTTAAATTAATTTGTTGCGGTAAATTGACATAATGTTTATATATTGAAATTTTGATGCCTTCTTCTAAACCAAAATGTACATATTTCCCTTCGTTGGGAAAATGTATAATATTTAACTGCACATTTCGTGGTGTTTTCATCAAAGATCTCACATCTTTTGGCAAACTTTTGTGCCCATGTTTATTTAAAATTTCTAAAAGATTGTTGGTTGCTGCATAACTTATATTATGTTTCACAATCCAGGAGCGTATATCACAAGCAATATCAAATGTTTTCAAATCGTTTTGTACATCGAAAGCAAAATTTTCATCATTTTCGATAGATGAATTACTGTTACTTGCAATTTCGAAAATATTATTATAATTATTTTTGTGCGTCATATCTTGATCATTATTCTCATTGTCAGTTTCAATATCATCATTTATACTATTGTTAAGAGTTGAAAGGGCATTATTAAAATTTGTCGATACATTTATGTTTGGCTCATCGGATTTATTATCTAATGAATTTGATGATATTAAAATTTTATTTGTAAGGTTAAGTACACGTCGACGCTGTTGCCGAGATGATAAGTTACAAAAATCTTTTCTTTTTGACATTTTTGTTAACTGCAAGATTAATTTTTCATTCAACAAAGTATGATATATGTAGAATTATGAGAAAAATAAGTGATTTATAATCTGTATTTTACCTTACATACAGACTGCTGCATATGCCTATGCAAACAAACAGCAATAGAGGTTAACTAGCCATAACCATTTAGCAACCACTGATAATTTATAAGTAGGATGTATACTATATATGTAAATACATATACATCTATTTTATGTCTATGCTACATAGCAGTTATATTCGGTATTTGTTCGTACTGAAAATCAAATTTGTCCTCAAAATTACGTAATATTTACATTTCATCCACATAACAATGATACATAACATTGTTCTTTTCATGTGCTCCCTTAGTTATATAACAGTTATGTGTTGGTTTGCTGGGTATTTATCTTTTCATGAGCCCGTTTTGGATGTTTTACAAAAAAGCAGTAAAAGTATGTATTTGCTCAATGTATATGTATTAGTACCAATATTTGTTTATAAAAAAAGTTTTTTATTAAAATTAGTAAGTCATAAATATAAATAAAGTACAGAAACGCATATTAACACTTTTGTTATAAAAAAATTGTAATTTTTTTGTAATTTACTTTTCATTACTTACAGAAACATTACAACATATTATCAATATTTATATAAAACACACAAAACACACATACTTTCATGCAACACGTGTATGATGCACAGATTCCTTATATAATTAATTATAATAATAATCACAATTTGT